TGAAACTGATCCATGATGGGGCCCTAAGGTCCTCCCCAGCCCCCCAGCACTTGGCCTGCCCTGCGAGGTGGTTTGCTCCCATGCAGGGTGACCCCTGGGGTCGGGGCTCCACTTCTGGCTCCTCAGCTTCTCAGCTGAGCCACCCCAGCTCCTCATTTCTTCCCTGTCCACATGGCGGGACTAATAAAGCCACCTACCCGACCACAGGTGTCCCACCTGTGGCAGGCATGGTCAGCAGAAGGGCAGACCTCAATTTTGAAGCAAGTTCCTGGGTCTCACGATTTTAAGTTGCTGAGTCCCTACTCAGGTGACTTCCTTCCAGTAACCACACGACTTTTTATGGCCTGGAAGGGACCAGAGAGCCACGGATCTCCATCCAGAGGAGGGAGAGGGTGACAGCTCTAAGCGTGGTTTCGGCTTTGAGATTCAACCCTGGCCACAGGCTGGAATCAACAACAACGGGGTGATGGCGGGGGAGGGGGGGGGAGTACAGAGGCTACGGATGCCGGCTTCTAGCTGAGACTCTGAGGGGGGTCCTGGGGGCGGGACCTGGGCAGCTGGTCTTAAAGGCTCCCAGAGGACTCTAATGGCAGTAGCATTGGGGAACTACTGGGTTTAGATGACTCGCTCTAGGGACGGTGCAAGACAAACACAAGACTGAGCTCTCGTGCCACAGGCCGGCTCGCTCCACATGGCCTGACAGCCTAGATAGCGTGACGTGCCCTCCTGGGCCCTCGAGTTCTTTTCTGCCCACAAGGCAGCTTCCTTAAATTTCACTCCTCGCATCCTGGAGGTCTCAGGGTCTCTGTGCTTCCTGCCTGATGGCGGGCTTGCCCCAGAACTCGCGTCCTGGGAGTCGTCGGTGGAAGCTCTGGTCTACTTAAAAGCTCATCTCCGGAATGCCTCTCACACTGCATTCTCCTGGCCAGGAACCCATGTCCGCCCAGGTTTAAAGGGAGGGGGGTCAGATTCTCCCCTCGGACATAGGGGAGGAAGGGCACAGGGCCATCTTCGGAGAGGGGCCGCCACACCAATGACACGGAGATTCGGGGCTCAGTCCTCAAAGTCTGTGTCGTCCCCTGGTCCCCAGCTCCCTGGGGATCTGGGCAGCCCTGTGCTTTTGGCCACCTGTTTACTGCCCGATTCTCCAGGGGGCTGTGGGGACCAGGGATTGTGTGGAGTGGGACTGGGGTGCGTCCAGGGGGAGGAGAGGGCACCTCCAGGGCTCAGGGGTGAGGTGGGGTCCACGAGCTGTCTTCACGCCTTCAGTGCCCACAGCCTCTCTCAAGCCCTAACACACACCCCCACGTACTCCCACCAGGGAGGGCACCCCCTCATCAGAGGAGTCGCGGGGTAACCACTGTCCACTCTGTCCGTCCATAAAGGGCATCTTCGTAACGCTTAGCTGTCGAGAGGCAAATCTTTCTGAAACAGCTCATGTCCTCTGGGCCTCCTAAAGCCACGAACAGGGGATGCCTGCGGGGCTCAGTCTGTGGAGCGCCCGACCCTTGATTTTGGCTTTCGTCATGATCCCAGGGTCGTGAGATCAAGCCCTGCAAGCGTGGAGCCCACTTAAGATTCTCTCTCCCTCTGTCCTTCTCCCCGGCTCACACACTCTTTCTAAATAATAAATAAATAAAGCCACAGGCAGGACTCACATTTCACAACACCGAGGAGGGGGAGGGGTTGTGAAGTCACAGAGATCTCCTTTCATCCAGTCGATTAATCAAGCAGGTGTACACTTCCGACTCCACTCCTGCCTCCCGCCGCTGTGCTCCACCAGGGCGGGGATCTGCCCAAAGCTCTGCCTCAATTACAAGCCGTTCCCTGCTCAACAACCTGCAATGGCTCCCACTGCCCGCTGACGGATGTGAACTTCTCACTCAACGGTCAGCACCTCTGTGACCTGGCCCCTGCCCCTGTCTCCCAGCATGTCCGGGGCCCCTACCTCCCCCCTCCCCAAAGGAGTCTGTGAATATATCCTGGGCCTCCCTCCTCCTGCCTCTCTGCCTAGAATCCACCACCTGACGATGAAGGTGCTCACGGGGAGGGCATCCTACACCCTGAATGCACTGTTTTCCTGTCTTCATCTTTCCACGTGTGTATGTCTTGTCTCACCCCATCCGATCATCCAACAGAAACCTGCTGAGGGCCTACTATGTGCCAAGTGTCTCGGTCCACCCAGCCCTGGTCCATTCCCCTTGCTAGGAATGGCGTGGTCATCATCTCTCCAGTCCTCTGTAAGCACCCAGAAAGAAAATCCACCTCCCATGCCACTTTGCCCCCAGCACCTCGGGCCCAGTGCCTGGCACGGAGCTTGGCACAAGACGGGTACTCGGCTTTTGCCGAACAAGTAGCTGGAGGCACTAACATTCCTCTGTCAAACTGCCCACTGCTTCTGTGTGGGGACCGCCACTTGGTGTCACGCACCTGGTGGCCATTGCACAGTCCGGGCATGTGTGGAGCACTCGCAGAAGCCAGGCACTAAGTGCTGCAGATAAGAGTCGAAGTTCCCACCCTCGTAGGGATACGAGGCACAGAGCAACGCCAGAAAGCAACGCACCCTGGTGAGACCACTTCCTGTGGGAAAGCAGAAGAGAGGACCCCTTTTTAAACACGTGCCCCTGTCCCTTACAGCGTGTCCTTCTCAGGACAGAGCAGCAAGCAGGAAACCGCAGGAGCTAAACGCAGCAGCTGTGTAAATACTCAGACGCGGATTTAAAACCCAGTTCTCCTCCTCAGAATGGTGTGCCTGGGTGAATTATTGAATCCTGATCAAGTTCGGGATCCTGATCTGTAAACGGGGCAATAAAAGTGCCCACGTCACAGACTTGTAAGGATTTCCTGTACCAAAGTGTGGAAGTGACGAGCCCACGGCGGTACTCGACAAACCTCAGCATTTCTGCCCACCGGAGCGCACATCGTGCCTCCCTTCCTTGCAGCTGACTCGAGACCGAGCAAATGATCGACGCCCAAGTATCTGTTGGCAGGAATTCACCGACCACACAAAACGTGAAAGTAACAAAATAGAGAGAGAGAGAAAAAAAGACCCCGATCTCTGTGTAGGCTCTGCCTCCAGATGGTGAAAAGCCCAATGTTTATTTTCTCAAGTTACCATAGCAACTTGTGGTGCTCAGCCCCTGGTTCCCAGTGATCCATTTACCTTGTAACCAGGGACACAAGCTGTTTGGGGGATCCAGGAGGGGGAAGGCAGGGACAGACGTGTGTAAGCTCCTCTTTCCCCTAGAAATAAATCCTGTGAAATCACCTCAATTATCATGCAGCTCAAGTCACCACTGTCTAAACTAATGTCCACATGACAATATTTATAAACATGGGTTTAGGAACAGGAGACAGAAAATTAGGTGGGGGAAACAGTGTTGCTGAGGGGCGCCTGGGTGGCTTAGTCGGTTAAGCGTCCGACTTTCGCTTAGGTCATGATCTCGCGGTTCGTGGGTTCGAGCCCCGCATCGGGCTCTGTGCTGACTGCCAGAGTCTGTATCTCCCTCTCTCTCTGACCCTCCCCTGCTCACGCTGTCTCTCTCTCTCTCTCTCCTAGAAATAAAAAAAAATGAAAAAAAAATAAATTGGACCAGCTGAGTATAACTGATGACTTATAGCTCTTTTGGCTATCAAAAAGCATGGATTCAGTGTTGAGTTACATTTACTCACCTGTNAGTCTGTGACTCCCTCTCTCTCTGACCCTCCCCTGCTCACGCTGTCTCTCTCTCTCTCTCTCCTAGAAATAAATAAGACATTAAAAACAACAACAACAACAGTGTTGCTGACAGTAGCAGTGAGCATTTTGGAAAACTAAACAAGAGATTGCCAAGACCTGGGATCTGGAACCATCCTGGAGATTCTGCGTCCTTCCATGACTGTGTGGGAGGCTTGTCCATATACCTTGGACTTTGCTGTTACTTTTTCAACAGGCTCCAAGGGGGGAAATTTGGGGGAAAAGGCAAGTGTCCTCTTAAAAAAATTAAACAGCAGCAAGGGGGACCCCTGCCACACACGCGGGCGACAGACAGAACCTCGGTGGCCTTCCCACCTCTGGGCTCCCAACATAACCAGCTCATGGGAGGTGCAAGGTCTGATGCGGTACATGGGGATTTACTCTTCTGGACCAAATGTGGCCTTCCCTGGAGCCAGACTGCCCTCCACACTGGGTCCTGGGAAAGAACACAAGCCGGTCCCCAAAGCAAGTGTCTGTCTGCCTTTGTTCTAGCGCAAGAGAGCTGAGCACAGAAACACTGAGATCACCCAAGGCTCACAACTCAAGGGGATTCTCCTTCAGCGAGGATCAAGTGATCAAGTGATGAGAGGTCATCTGTCTTTTCCTGCCATTGGCAACCTGTTTTGCGCCGAGGGAAGAGTTATGGTCGCGTGTCGGGCACTGATGGCTACAGACTCAGCACAAAGAAAAAAAAAAAAAAGATAAAATGATCGCTGCGCTCTCGCGCCCGGCTGCTCACCCGAGGGGGTCTCACCGCCTTCCTCCGGCTACAGGGTCTGTGGTTTCCACTGAGACGGGAGAGAGTGAGAGAGGCGGGTGGGGAGTGCCTGAAGTCACAGGCAAGTTGCAGATAAACCTGCGCCTCGGGAAGATGTGGAATGGAGAGCAGAGAGGTTGCCCACCCACCCAGGTCCGCACGGATCTGGGCTGCACCGCCCTGGCTGCGTCCTGGGTCCCGGAGCGGGGTCGGCAGGGAGGGATGGGCAGGGAGGGGTCGCCTCGCACCGCCCTGGCCCCTCGCAATGTGTAAAGAGGTCGAGCCGGCGCGCTCAGGGCGCACGGCCGGCCCCACCCCCGGGCGCCGCGCTCGCCACCTCCGACGAGGAAAGCCTGGTGGGGAAGCCCGGCTCGGGACAAAGGATCGCGACGTAGGTCCCCGGCGGGCGCCACCGCCCGGCTGGAACCCTCCCGGCGCGTCCAGCCCATGGCCCCGAGCCTCCCCAAACTTGGCAGCCCAGGGCGCGCGGGGAAGGCGCCCCGTTACCTGCGCAGCCATAAAGGACAGATCCATGGTGTCGCTGCCGCGGCCGCCGCCCGCGCTCGAGTCCTCGCCGCCGCCGCCGCTGCGGGTCCGGCGGCCCGCACAGCTGGCCGGGAGCGGGCCGAGCAGCGAGCAGGCACCCCGCACCCCGCACCCCGCGGCGCCGCCGACCTCCGCAGCCCCGGCGTGGCGGCCTCGGCACGCTCCGCGCTCCGCACTCCAGGCCGAGACCCAGACCGAGAGGCGGCCGAGGCGGGGGGCGGGGCGGGGCGGGGCTCGGGGGCCCGGGAGCCCCTCCACGTGACCGCTCCCAGCCCCACCCCGAGGGCGGGGCCCGGCGGAACCCCTGGCGCTCTCAAGATCCTCTCCCGCGTGAGGGCCGAAGGGGGAAACTGAGGCCGGAGGTTCCCGCAGCTGGCGGGAGCGGGACCTCAGGTACAACGCTGTCGGCAGCCCGTGCCTTGCTCGGGGGCTTGCGGGTCAGGGTCAGGGCGACCCAGTGTGGTGTGTCCCCGGCTCTGGCAAAAGGGGGTTTCAATCCTAGCCGGGTTTGTCTGTGAGACAGACATCCGTGGTCATTGCTCCTCACTGAGGTCCGCAAGGCAAGGCGCGCGATGATGAAGGTTGGGGACACCTGCGGGGGGGAACCTGGCGCCCGCATCCTCGGGGCTCCGTGAGGACTGTGCTCCCGGCGGCGGCGGCTCACCTGGAAAGTCCTCCGCAGACCACTGGTGTGTGCAGTTACCCGCCTGCTGAGCCTGGCCTTGCTCGGGAAGAGGCGGGGGGCACCCTGACCTCTCCCAGGACTTGGCTCTGAAGAAAAATAGGACGGGAGGTGAGCGGATGTTGGACAGACCCCTGTCTCTTGGCTCGTTTGGGCTTTATGGTCTTAAACCCACACCTCCTCCAGACCCCAGACCAACCCCTTGTGGTCAATACCTGGATCGGGTTTTGTGGGTCCTTCCCTCCTGCCCTCGCAATTGCTGACTCCATTTTTAATGTCCGTTAGGTCCTGGCTTTGAACTGAACTGTTAAACCAGTGTCCTTGAAGAGAGAAAACATTCTAATATTAACCACACTCACTGCCCAGAGGCGCCCAGAGGACTTAGAAGGTTGTCAACAAAAGCTTGAATGCGGTATTTAAATCCCTCTACTGATGTATAATTTATAGAAATGTCCCTATTTTCCATATATAGGTCGATGAGTCTTGACACATATATACACCCTTGTAATCAGAACTATAATCAATATATAGAACCTTCCACTCACTCCTAAGTAAAAGTTCCCTCTTGCCCCTTTGAAGTCAACCCCCGCCACCCACCTTTCTGCCACTACAAGTTAGATCTGTCTTTTCTAGATTTCTGGAATCATATAGATTGTATTCTTTTCTTCGTCTGGCTTCTTTCATTCAGGAAGATGTGTTGGAAAATCTTCCATGTTGTGGCACATAGTTGTGTGTTTATGACAGACTGACAACCCGTTTTTACAATGTGTTTGTACATTTTACATTCCCACCGACAGTGTATGTGAGTTGTAGTTCCTTCATGTTCCCAGCAACACTTGATACTGTCTTTTGTTTTTAAGTTTTTATGTATTTATTTTGAGAGAGGGAAAGGGAGGGACAGCGAGAGGGGGACAGAGAGAATCCCAGGCAGGCTCCACATTGTCAGCGCAGAGCCCGAGGCGGGGCTTGAACTCACCAATGGCAAGGTCATGGCCTGAGCCCAAATCAAGAGGCGGGTGCTTAACTGACTGACTGACCCAGGTGCTCGCTCCTCTTGATACGGTTTTTAAGTGAAGCCATTCTAGTGGGCATTGTGGTTTAAATGTGCATTTTCCTGGTGACTGATGAATTCAAACATCTCTTTCACTTGCTCACTCTTGGACATTCGTATGTTTTCTTTGGTGAAGGGTCTGTCCCAGGCTTTTACCCATTGAAAAAAATGGAATCAATCATCCTTTTATAATTGAGTTGTAAGAGTTCTTTATGTGTCCTGGATACAAGTCCTAGGTCAGATGTATATACTGTACGCATTTTCTCTCCCTTTGTGCTGTTTTTTGTTTTTGGAATGGGGCTTTTTTGAATAAACGTTTTTAGCTTTGATCAAACACAGTTGATTTTTTTCTCTTTTATGGTTCATGCTTTTTGTCCTAAGAAATCTTTGCCTACCTCAAGGTCATGAAGATTTTCTCTGTTCCCCTCCCCCCAAAGTCTTATGCTTCTAGCTTTTATGTTTAGGCCTCTGATCTGTTTTTGTTTTTATATACAGTGTGAAGGAAAGGATGAGGCTCTCTCTTTTTTTTCCTATCCCAAATGGGTGTCCAGTTGTGCCAGCACCATTAATTGTTATGACTACCTTCTCCCCATTGAATTACCCAGAGGCAGGACTAGATTTAAGAAGACACAAATTTCTTTTTTAAGTGTTTAATGTCTGTTTTCAAGGAGAGAGACAGAGCATGAGGTGGGGAGGGGCAGAGAGAGAGGGAGACACAGAATCCGGAGCAGGCTCCAGGCTCTGAGCTGTCAGCACAGAGCCAGTTATGGGGCTTGAACTCATAATCCATGAGATCATGACCTGAGCTGAGATATTCAACCGAGTCACCCAGCCATCCCAAGAAGACACAAATTTTAAGGTGGCACTCACTCTCATGTGCCACTCTGCACTATGTGACCCTGGGAGTGTCTTCTTAATGTTTTTGTAAGTTTATCTATTTATTTTGTTTTATTTTGGTTTTTTTATATTTTTATTTATTTCTAGGAGAGAGAGAGAGAGAGAGAAAGACAGCGTGAGCAGGGGAGGGTCAGAGAGAGAGGGAGACACAGACTCCGAAATAGGCTCCAGGCTCTGAGCTGGCAGTCAGCACAGAGCCCGACGCGGGGCTCGAACCCACGAACCACGAGATCATGACCTAAGCGAAAGTCGGACGCTTAACCAACGAAGCCACCCAGGCGCCCCTTATCTATTTATTTTGAGAGAGACAGAGACAGAGCGAGCAAGGGAGGGGCAGAGAGAGAAAGAGGGGGAGAGAGAGAAAGAATTCTAAGCAGGCTCCAAGCTGGCAGAACAGAGCCCAACACAGAGCTTGAACCCACGAACCATGAGATCATGACCTGAGCTGAAACCAAGAGTCAGATGCTTAACTGGCTGAGCTACCTAGATGTCCCCTCCTTAAATTTTGATTCCTGAGCACCTTGTTGGCCTCTCCCACTGATGTGGGAAATCTGCGCATTAGAAGGACCACTCTGGGGCTTTCCCCGGGCAACCTCATCCAGGCATGTGAAGATCCAGCAAGGACACCCAGACCTCTGCCCTGAGCTCCAGATGGGCACGTTCGTCTGTCGACTCAGCACCTTCTCCTGGATGGCTGACGGCATCTCAAATTTAACCTGGCCAGGACTGAACTGTGATTTCCCCCTTCTATCCGGCTGCATCGCAGGCAGATAACGTCACTCCCCACATCCTCCCTGTACAATTCAGCGTGTTGTGCACTGCACAAGGGGCGTGGCAGATAAGCAAGCCAGGGTTAAAAGTCGGCCATGTCCCTCTCGTGCAATCTTATGTGTGGATAAGGGGCTATGTCTATCTAGAAGGAGGGCCATCTTTGCTCTTTTCCCCAGAGGCCTCATAAAGACCAGTAGATCCAGTCTTCTGTCTCCCTTACACCCCACTAACCCTCTCATTCGCTGTGCCCTGGCCTCCCTGGGCTTCCCTCTGTCCCAGAAAACCCCAAGTGTGATTCCCGCAGGGACACAGCCTCTGCTGTTCTTTCTCCTTGCAGCTATCTTTCTCCAGATCTTTTTTATTTATTTATTTATTTATTTATTTATTTATTTATTTATTTATTTCTAGGAGAGAGAGAGACAGCATGAGCAGGGGAGGGTCAGAGAGAGAGGGAGTCACAGACTGAAACAGGCTCCAGGCTCTGAGCTGCCAGTCAGCACAGAGCCCGACGCGGGGCTCGAACCCACGAACCGCAAGATCATGACCTGAGCGAAAGTCAGACGCTTAACCGACTATGCCACCTGGGCGCCCCTCTCCAGATCTTTCTTTTGATGCTTCAGATTTTGATTCCAAAGCCACCCTTTCCAGGGAGTCTTCCCTAGTTTAAACAATCTGTCCATAAAATTAAAAAAAAAAAAAAAAAGCACCTTATTTTTTTCCCATAGCATTTCTCCATTTTTAAATGTATTTACTTGTTGGGAAAGGTAATCAGGGCCCTGGGCATCCAGGGTTCAAGGGGATGCATCTATACATGGCACATTTGGAGGATTTGGGGCCCAGGAACAGTCTCCAGACTGCCCTCATGCCAAGTACTGGTATGGAATCCACGTACACAGAGAACATTCTGTTCCCTAAAAGGCTGTCGGCCTGAAGGCCACAAGAGAGGGGGACCTGACCCTGGCATTTTGTCTCGCCTCATCCGGGACCTAGATAGAGAGGGCAGGGGCCACAGAGAACCTGGAGGGAATGCCCTCCCTTCCTGGGAGGCCTTTGAAAGGGTTTAAGAATTCATGAGCTTCCCACTGAGTGACTTGATACATATTTCAAGGCACATCACAGGGGCAGAGGAGGCCTCGGACCCACCCCGCTTTGAGCAGGCCCAGAGAATTGAGGGTGGCAGTGGGGGCAGCAAAATGCACAGGAAATCCTGACCCCCTTTGAGGCCCGGCTCCCTGGGAACCTTTGCTGCATGACAGACTTCTTCTGGCCACTTGCTAAGTGATCCCTAGCCCGCCAGTGTCTGGATCACCAGGCAGATTCCTCGTAAATCTCGATCTTGGCATGGGAGGCATGCAGTCGGCATTGTACACGCTTCCCCGAAGACTCTGGTGCTGGCTCATCTTCCTCGCCATCAGAACTAAGCTTTTCTCTTCCCCAGGCCTCCCTCAGACTCTGCTGTAAAAGTGCAATTCAGCCCCATTCTCTAACAGGTATTTTCTGAATACCTATTCTACATTAGGCATAGAATCTCACTATGCTTCCGAACCTCAAAAAAAAATAGGCTCAAAAGGGTTAAGAAACTCATTCAGGTCACTTAGCAA